TCATATGATGAGGGATGTCCCAACATGAATTGTAGCTGAAGGCAGAGTGCCAATAAGGCAGAGTGCCATAATTCTCTAGAGTTAAATGAGCTTGCTTCATCTTTCGACATTCTGTCTTGTTGGTATTCTGCTTTCCAATGTTGGGACTGGGTTGAGCCCTGGACCCCGTCCGTTCCCTCCACGAGGTGCCGAGGAAAATCCTCGCCGCCTCGTGGAAGGATCTGAGTGATCCGAGCTGGTGCAGCTGTGCAATGAAAATGTAGAGAGCTTCAGTCACTCCGTGATCAGATGTGTTTGTCGGTATTGTCTCAGTTCGTATGCTGCTGTCGTGCAGGTGGCAATGACCTGGCTGGTGTCTCGACCTCCAGTTGCAGGCATCGGTGGCCTGTGTTAATCATTCCATGTGGTTGTCAGTTCAGTGCCATCTGCGATAGTTTCCTGTCTCAAGTTCGAGTGACATGATGTGGCTGCTGACATGTCATCGTGAGTCTTTGGGTTGATTTCTTAAGAATTCAATGTGTTGTGAACTGGGGCTTGTTACACAAGTGCAGGTGTGTGTCAGTATTTAGTAAGATTCAAGTACAGTGTTGCTTTGGAGGATTTCGGTGATGCTTCTGAAACTGTGGGTCATGCTATTGCTCCGTGATGGGCAATTGCTTAACTTGGAAAATGATGCAAAACTGCCAGCGAGAGCAGCTTGGCTCTCACAGGGCGAACTGTGGTGGCGTCTGGACTTGTTTTTCGATGAGAGCAACAGGAACGGCTCAGAACGTCGACAGTACCACAAATGGTACAACTTCTTCAGTGATCTTCTCAGGAAGACCCCCTTGGCTGCGAACTGGGGGTCACATGTGCAAAGTCAAAAAGGCAGAGTGCCAAACCCTGATGCTGTGCAGGAGGATGTGGCATCTTCCACAGCCTTGGCCCGATTCATGTTTCAAGCATCCTTCGACACAAGGACAGACGCCCACAGGGAATGGTACAAGAGCAAACTGAAGGATGCTATGGTACGTGTGTGTGAAACTATCAGTGATGAGCCTCTGGTCATGCAGTTGGATGAAGGCAGAGTGTCATGGTTTCTTCAATCAGCTGGGTTGGTGTCAGGCTTTGCCGCTTGGATGATGAAGGCGCTGGCAGGCAACACGTCCCGATCTTTGCGTCAGCTTTGGGAATCTATGTTCAATGCAAGGACGCTGTCTTCATCTCTCCGAGATGAATCTGAAGGCAGAGTGCCACGAGATTGGGAGGAGGTTGAAACTAGCATCTACGACATCAACGCCTTTGCAACCATGGCA